ATGGCACATAACAACAACACTGAGAACCATGAGAAACACAAAACACTTAATTGTGCTCATTCGAAATCTTTATCTAGATCAAGAAGAGGCTGCTCTCAAGATAGAGCAAGGAAATATTGCATGGTATAAAATCAAGGGTGTGTGTCAAGAAAGTATCTTTTGTTCATGCTTATTCAATCTCTATGTTGAACAAATAATTTGTGAAGCTGAACTCTATGAATCATGGAGTTGTACAATTTGATGGGTGGGTGGGGGTGAGGGATATTGTAAGAATCTGTTCTCTAAATCAATGTATTCGAATTTTGTAAAGAAACTAGTATTAAAAAAAGAGAATGTAGTTATCAGGATGGGAGGAAAACTCAACAACCTGCACTATGCAGATAGCTTTGCTTGCTGAAAATGAGGACTTCAGGAGCGTGCTGCAGAAGATCAAGTAGTACAGCCTTCAGTATGGTTACATTTCAACATCAAGACAAATGACTAGATAAACACAATGTAGTGTATACAATGAAAGCGCTCTGTTGCCTTAGTAGTAAGCTGCACTGCAATCCTGAAGGCATGTGGCTCAAGGCCATCAGCTGCTCCATAGAAGGATGGGCAGTGTCCTCCTATGCAATTAAACGGACTCTGAAAACCTGCTGAAGAGTCAGCAATGGACCAGTTCTGACTCTACAGTACACAATAACAACAAAGAGAAATGTTTCTGATGCATGCCATGACATACACGAACACTGAAAATATGCTGAGCAAAACGTCAGTCACAAAAAGACAAATACTGTATGATCTCAGGTATATGAAATAAGCAAATATATAGAAACCAAAAATTATTAATGGCTAGACTACAGCCTTCAGTAGTTAACATTTCAACATCAAGAAAACAAAAATCCCCACCACTGGACCATTGTTGCCTATTGGTCCAGAGAGTTTGAAGAGGAGGGTATACAACCTGGAGTCTCAGCAGGGAAGAGCTAGAACTTTTTGGGTTCAGTAGAAAGTACAACCCAACTGATTAAGCAACAGTGAAATGACTCCTTTTCCTGCCTCCCCACCACCACTGGGCAAGAAAATGATTTCTAAAAAGTACGCAGAAGATTGCACCTCTTCTTCTGCACGTATGGAAGTCATTTCACTTTAGGCTGTAAGTTAGTATCCTTCCATTCACAAGATAGTACTTGTCTTCTCCATTTAACACACACACAATAAATAAGCATTATATCCTAGCACTTCACCTTCCTTCCTCCAGAATGAACTTCTACAATTACAAATACAGTTCAACTAATGTTGAATCTGGTTGGGGAAGGTGAGGAAGCTGGGGCCAGAAGATGATGGACTTTGATGTGACAAAATCGTCATGGCTGCTAAGGGAGGGACCTTTCTAATCCCTTGCAGCATCTGATAAAAAGGATACTTTTATTTAAATATGTACATAGTCTTACACACATAATATGAAGTACATGGATCTCTTGGAACCTTTTCATGTATCTCCAGCCAGCAAAGAACACTGGTCTTAAGATGGTAAGTATTTTACTTAAGAATTCTTGAAGTAAAAATGAGGGCAAGGGAAGAGAATGGAGCAGTTATTTCCTAGAACATAGAAAAATCACATTAATCTTTGTCCTTACAGAACTGTTCTGTAGGGTTTTCCATTTTTTTAAAAAATAAAATTTTAATTTTATACTAGTTTAAAGTTCATATACATTGTTTTTCACACCAGATCTTTCCCATTTCCTTTACCCACCCCTCCCCCGCCCATCAAATTATGAGATGTTATGAGTAAACTCCACCCCCCTTGGAGTCTTATAAATGTTCTACAATAATGGTCTTATACAGTATTTGTCCTTATGAGACTGAGTTAGTTCACTTAGTATAATGCTCTCCAATCCCTCCCAAGTTAGTGATTTACAAAATCATTGCTCCTGCATGCTGCGTAGTATTCCAACATGTGAATGCACCATAATTTCTCAACCTATTCAATTGTGGTTGTACATTTGGGCTGTTTCCATGTTTTTGTGATGGTGAATATGCTGCTATGAACATCAAAAAGGCAACTGTCAAGTTTATTTGGAGAGACCTGAAAAAGCAAAGCACTTCTGGAAAATAAAAATCAAGTGGGAAGTATAGTACTTCCTGACCTCAAAACCTGCACAGTGTTAGTAATCAAAACAGCATGGTACTGGTACAATAACAGGAACACAGACCAATGGAATAGAATTGTCAGCCCAGAAATGGACCCAGCTATCGATGGTCAACTGGTATTTGACAAGGAACTAAAACCTATCAAATGCGGAAATGAGCACCTCTTCAACAAATGGTGCTGGCAAAATGGGACTGCTATCTGCAGAAAGCTGAAACAGGATCCACATCTCACACTATATACAAAAATCAACTCAAGTTAGATCAGAGACCTGGTAGTAAAATCCAAAACCATAAAGTTCATTACAGACAAGCTGGGCCTAGACTATGGTATAAAGACTGTCAAATACAGCCAGAAATTCACAATCTGGAAAAGAAAAAGTTGATGAATGGGATCTCCTAAAGCTTAAATCCCTGTGCACATCAAAAACATCTTCCAATCGAGTGAAAAGAAAACCTGACTGGGAACAAATATTTGGCAATACCATTTCAGACAAGGGTCTCCTATCAAAAGTTTACAGAATCCTATAAGGCCTCCACAAAAAAAGATTGAGGACACATTTACAAAATGGGTAAAAGACGTGGAAAGACTTTCCACAGAAGGTGGTATTTGGATGGCCAACAGATACATGAAGAAATGTTCAAAATCAATGGCAATAAGAGAAAAGCAAATCAAAACCATAATGAGATGGTATCACCACTGCAGCAATGGCAAATTTTAACAGGACAGCAAGTAATAAATGTTGGAGAGAATGTAGCAAGACAGGAACTCACTGTTGGTGAGACTGTAAAATGGTACCACTCTGGAAGGCAGTTTGATGTTTCCTCAAAGCTGAACATGGAAATTCCATGACCCAGCTATTCCACTGCTTAGAATATACCGAGAGAATGAGAACTGAGGCAGACAGACAGACTTTTACACCAATGTTCATAGCAGTGTTATTCACCATCACAAGGGTTTTCAATGTTATGTCCTCTCAATAGTAGATGGTCAGGCCTGTCTTCCAACACACTCCCAGAGTGAGTTTGACATGCCAACTGGAACCATTCTGAGGGAACTGTGGTTGTGTAGTTTGTGAAGAGTTGAGTTGCTAACCTCAACGTGGTATCTTGAATCAATCATCAGCTCTGCAAGAGAAAGATGCACAATCTCCTTCAATGCAATTTGCAACCTCTCAAAACCCACTGGGGCATAGCTATGAGCCAGTTCTACCTCAACATCGGTAAGGTTGAGTTCTAACCATTTATGCCACCCTAAGACCACATACAGGAGCTCTGGTGGCCCAGTGGTAAGGAGCTGCACTACAATCCCAAAGGCATGCACTTCAAATCCACAAACCTCTCCATGGGAGAAAGATGGGCAGTGTCTTCCCTTGTGATTAAACTGCCTCTGAAAACCCACTGGAGGGTCCAGCTAAGGGGCCATTCTGACTTGAGATACACAAGATGACTCCATAAGGGAGTTCTGCAGCCTGGTGGTAAGAAGATGCACTGCAATCTCAAAGGCACATGGTTCAAATCCACAAACTGCTCTACAGATGGAATGGTAATCTCTTCCTGTGCGATTCACTGCTTCTGGAAACCCGACGGAGGGTCAGCTATGAGTTGGTCTGATTCTATGGCATACAATAAGATTCCATAATACTGATGTGCAAAGCCAAGCATAAGAGAACTTCTGACTGGCACCAATTTCATCTCATAAGAGAAATTGTTTGACAGCTTATTTAGAACTCCATATTTAATGTGTACAGAGAAAGCAGTGCCAAAACATAAAATGTTTAAAAAGATTTTAAAAAATCATAATACATATCATTGTGTTTTTCTAAAACCCATGCCTTCAAAACCACTGACCAATATCATAGATTAAAAACTTCCATGTTTATTTATATTATTAGTGCTAAACATCTTTCCCTATTTTTTTGGCGTGTTCACTGATTTATAAAGGGTTAAAGTTATTTATCCTTTGATATACAGCAATTACTTTGACACGAAATTGAGTTAGCAGGTCACTAAATGGTGTCTGCTTCACATCTGTAATTATGAACAGTGCCTGCCTCCTAAGATTTTTGTGATGATCAAATAATTTTCATTCACCCCTCAAGTGCTCAGATCTGTGCTCAGCACAAGCTAAGCTTTAGGTAACAGCTGATGATGACACTATTGATAACACAAAGACACTATATTTTTGAAGTCTTGTCTGATTAACAAAAAATTTATTTAGCATTACTTCTTATTAGACAAAGGTATAAGCAAAAACCTCCCAAAGTCTTGTACATGTGAAAGCTTTCCATAAAGAACTCTTGGATGCAAAATAAGACCCAAGGTAAGGACATACTTATATTGAATGCCTTAAGATTTTTTTTTTAATTGTTTCTTTTTAAGCTACAAAAATACTACCAAGCAGAAAGATTTTATTTTGCTAATATGTACACACAGAAATAATACAAAAGTTTCACATTCTATGGTTTCTAAACATTAAACCAATGGTTTCCGTAAAATGTTGGTCTTTCATGGTTCAGAAGAACTCAAATGGCTGATAGTCTGTGAAAGTTCATCCTTCTTTTCAGAAGTCTTGCCGGATGTTTTCTTTGTTTGCCTCTCCATGCTGCTGCTTTATTTGATAGATTTCATTTTCTAGTTGTACAATACTCCGTTCAATCTCATAATTCTTACTAACCAGGGATACCCAACTACAACAGAAAGAGAAACATTATCCAATGTACAATTTATTTTGGAAGATTTTATAGTACATATATTTATTTTTATTTAGTGTCATAACAAACTTTCAATTAAAAAAACAAAACAAAAGCCTGAGGCACAATTTAACGGGGTAAATACCATTTCTCTATTTCTGAAAACTGCATGTGAAATAACAATTATCTCAAAAACTAATTTTAAAAAAGAAAACGAGAAATTGCAAGTGGCCATCCAAGGCATGACTATTGGATTCTATGCCTGGAGCAACAGTGGAAGGAGAATCAGAAATAGGAAAAGGATATGAAATGTAAGGCTAACTGCCTCCATGAACAACTGCTTCCTCTGTCACGAGAGCAGAAGAAATGCACAGTATCCCCTACTATCATGGAACTCTTTATCTGAGATTGTATAGAAGAATTCTACTCAAAGGGTGACAGAATTTAAAATTCTCACCAACTCTACTACTTCCTGGAACCATGAGATATAAAACGAACCACTGAACCTACTACGTGGATATAAACGATAAAGCTTAAACTACAAATTACCTATGAAGTCATCTTAAACCAAACAAGTCTAGCTAATTTTACTAACTAGCAAAAAATGCCTGTCCTGAGCATTATGTTCTGTCTACATGAGACAACAATAACTCAAAAGATAAGACAGAGGGAGCTCTGGCAGACTAGTGGCAAGAAGTTGCACTGCAACCGCGAAGGCACATGGTTCAAATCTACTGACTGCTCTGCTGGAGAAGGAGGGGCAATCTCCTCCTGTACCAGTCAGATCCAATTTGACGGTACACACACTCTAAAAATAATAAATTTTTTTTAAAAAAAGATAAGACAGGAAACGTAGGGCCCCTAAATTTATGTTAAGAAAGAAAAATTCTGAAAGACAGGGAGAGAATAGCTCAAAGGATTTAACAGCATTACTAAATAGTACAAATAGCAACAAAGCATGGTTTTCTTGGGTATATATGCTCAGTATCACCACCACCACCAAAAGTGACAAACCGGGCATAGTTTAGAGCATCAGCAAAATAAGAGACAGAAAATGGTGTGATGAAAGATAGTGTTAAATACTGACAAAATTTAAACAGGTTAATAATCAAGAACTTTTAAAAAATGCTTTTAAAAAACAATTACAGATCAAGAAGCTGTCAATCATCTCACTTGAAAAAAATCTTTTTGAGAAGTGAAAACAAACATGCACACACACAAAGATCTAGAGTAACTTAAAAATGTGTAAAGATATATACACTAATAGATCTCTGTGTTGGGTACACGAGTATGAAGGTGGAGGAGAGGGTGGAGCAAGGAGAATATCATGGGATGAAGATAAATTTTCTCAAAGGGTAGAGATATGACAAAGCAAAAATGGGAATAAAGAAATTTAGGTGATTTATAGGGATTTAAGATTAAATTTTCTCTTAAGGAGCAATCTCCTCCTGTATGAGAAATTCACTGGAGAGTCAGGTTCTGACTAGTGTGCAGGGAGTTCTGAAGGTTTTGGAAAGGATTCCCTTTAAGGTGGCAACAGTTAAGTGCCAGCTGGTAAATGAAAATGTTGGCAGTTCAAACCCACCAAATGGTGCCCTTGGAAAAATCTGGTAATGTGCTTCTGTAAAGATTCTTACTCATTGCCACTGAGATGAAACTGATTCATAGCTGACTCTCCAGCCATCTTTAGAGGCTGTAAATTGCACAGAAAGAGGACTGCACATCTTACTCCCAAGAAGCAGCTGGTAGATTTGAACTACCTATCTTTGGGTCGGCAGTGCTCTACCCACTAGGTCACCAGCGTTCCTTCCTGGAAAACTGTATAAAACAGTTTCATGGAAAACAACATTTAGAAATCTGCATAGATTAATAAATGTGTGTAAATGTAAATTTTAAAAAATGGAATGTCTTCCCTTTAAAAAGGGAAGAAAAGGAAGATACTCCCTCCTACAAGGTCTAAGAAAAAGATAACTTCTTTAGTTCTTTTTGAAAGGAAAACACAGGCAGAATCCTATTCAGAATCAGAGTTCTTACACTGAACACAGGGCTAAGGCCAGGGTCATTGAACAGAAATGTAAATCTTAATTAGAACTCTCACTACCTTCTAATTAGAACTCTCACTACCTTCTAACTCACCCATCAGAAAGGGGCCATAATGAAAGGTGGGGCCAGAAGGGAGTACTTCTTTGATATTATGAAAATGCCTCTAAATACTTTTGAATTATACCTTGATCTAAAAAAAAAAACAACAAAAAAAAACTCAAACAAAAAGTGCTAATTATAAAGATAATGGAATTATAGGTACTTACGTTGACTCCATTTCTCTCAATTTGGACCCAGCTGTCAGTTGCATATTCTTTCGCTGCCAGTTTAAATCTTGAATATGTTTCCTATAGAACATGATTTATACAATTAAGTAAATCACACTTTAATATAAGACTAAAAACACCAAAGAAGTCAATGACTAATACATGGCTTTATATTTAAACCCTTGAGAACAAGAACACAAACTCACATACACACACATTAAGCTGCTTCCAACAATTAACTTCTAATAATCTTCCCCCTACAAATTTCATATTCACATGAAAAACTAACAAACATACACACAGAGAAAGCTGTCTTCCCCACGTTGTTCTCTGCCCCAGTTTGGAAGAGTTTTTTAGTTTGGTGAATAGCCATTTAGGCTCTATTCAATCATAAGCAGGTACACAGTGATTCTTTTGTTACATACACTCAGATTACCCATGCTATTCTGTTACTTTTGTCCTTCAATTCTTCACTATGTCTTTGACTTACTTGGCAGAGACATGGTCCTCATGCCCATTTCTCCTCTACTTACTGAAAGCCCAGTGCTGGGAGCTCGAAAGAGAGTAGATCAATCTTTTACTCTCACATGGCTAAAACCTCAGAGATTTCTCTCCCCACTTTATTTCATATTTATTATAGGTTCACATTCTAAAACAACAGGAATAAATAATTTACCTTAATTTCTGGAGCTCTTTTTGAGCATGTTCAATCATGTGAACCAGATTTCTAAAGAAGGAAAAGAAAATATGTTAAAACTTATTCATACCAACTAAAAATCATCTATCTGGCTGATTAAAGTTAAGCACTTCTTCTAAAAAAGCAGTTAACCTTGTATGCCAAGCACCATATTAAGTACTTTATAAATTATGTTCTTTTCAGTTATTGTTGAGTCGACCCTTAATTCATACAACTCCATGAAAAATGGGATCATACAACTGTGATTACAACAAGAACTAATAATACTATTCTATTCACAACCAGAATTAACAGGCTGAACACAGGGATTTTAATTGGCTGTCTTTTGGGAAATAGATAACCAGGCCTTTCTCCCCAGTCTTAGTCTAGAAACTGCCTTGTAACCTGTTCAGCATCTCACAAGCCTCCAGAGGGAAATGGACAATGTTCTACAGTGCTGTGACTTTCAGAGAACCTGAGTTTTTTTGCCCAAAAGATAAAGAATTCTACCAGTGATCACTAGTGCCCTTTATAAGTATGTTGTTTTAGGTGCCACCACATTGATTCTAACTCCTTTAGAAACACGAGTTACAAAAAAACAGCTAATCTAATTTCCACAGGAATTTTTGAAATAGGTAGAATTTATTGCGCCATGTGAAAGATGGTGCCAGAACAGGTAAGTTTTTAATCCGTTACACAGAGAGCTGCTGAAAGTCATAGTTGACACAATGGTACTATTATAACAACAACAACAACATATGAAAATGGGTCTTGTCAACTTTACAGCTCATTTACCTGATTTTGAGGATGTATGGCATTTTTTAAAAATCATGACTCTTTTCATAGATGGAAACAGCTGGTAAGGGTACAACTATTTAGATCCTTTCATACCTCTTTTATTTTGTGTCTACAGCTATCATTCCACTCACTCTTCCTTTCTACTGCTAGACAGAGAGAAGAGAGGAAGAGAAAAACTGTTGTGGAAGGCTGATGTGCTCTGACCCACTCAGGGAAAGCTGACAATACAGAACACTATGTGATTATGGTGATGAAGAATTGCATAAAAGTGAATGATGGGATAAAGAAGAAAATTTTAAAAAAGTAATTCAAGAACAGATTTCAATTTCTTTTGTTTCTGAAATAATAGTTTTAATGAGACATAGCTCATATACCATATCAATTTCCTTTCAAGGTGGCTCAATCCTCTTCCTGGCCCATTTTAACCACATTCACCACTGCACACAATGTATTATTTTCCTGCGCCAAAATACTGACTACTGGTTATTTTGTATCATCTCCTATCTCCAACTAGATAAAGTTCTTGAATAGAAGGATCACATATTGCTCACTGCAATAAGATAAACAACACAACTGAAAAATGGGCACAGGATATGAACAGACACTTCACTAAAGAAAACATTCAGATGGCCAACAAACACATGAAGAAATGTTCAAAATCCCTAGCTCTAAGAGGGATGAAAATCAAAGAGATACCATCTCATCCCAGTAAAAATAGCAAAATTTAACAGAACAGCAAACAACAAATGCTGGTGAGATTGTGGAGAAACTGGAACCCTTATTCACTGTTGATGGGAATGTAAAATGATGCATCCACTGTGGAAGGTGGTGTGGTGCTTTCTCAAAAAGTTGCAAATAGAGATACCATTTGACCCAGCAATTCCACTACTGGGAATTTACCCTAAAGAAACCATAGCCACCACCCAAACAGATATAAACAGACCCATGTTTATTGCAGCTTTGTTCACAATAGCAAAGAGCTGGAAACAACCTAAGTGCCCATCAACAAACAAATGGCTAGAGAAGTTGTGGTATATGCACACATTAGAATACTATGTTGCATTGAAAAACAAGGAACTCATGAATTATTATACAAAATGGGTGACCCTGAAATACACTATGCTGAGTGAAATATCTCAGTCACAAAGGGACAACTACTGCTTAATGCCACTGTTGTAAAGCAGGACTGACATCAAGGTTGGGGAGAATCTAAGAAAAGGGGATAAATAATGTATACTGAATTGAAACAGATGAGGGAGAGAACTATATAAAAAGGATATGGAATTAAGCATTATTGTCACAACAAGAGTTTAGAATTAAAGTTGCATAGCAGAGTGAACTGGGGGGACTGTGTAACAATGATAGAATTAAAAAAAAAAGATAAATAGATGGTTTGAATTGATTAAATTTCATTATTAAGTATCTTCACCCCAACCCCATTTTTCCTTTCATTCTCCCTTGCAAGATAGTCACAAAAGAAACAAGTTGTCTGTTATATATGCAGCATTTTTCATATTCTGGGCTTTGCTCATTGGATCTTTATGTTGTCAAAGAAGTCAAAATTAGTTTTCTAAAGATCTGAAGAAATTTATTTAACATTTGTCTTGCTTTACTTTATACAGGTGTTTCAAGAAAGATTCTCTAACCAAATAGTTTGATATATAGTCATGAGATTTACTGGTTTTTACTTCCTTTACTTTCTTAAATTATTAACGACTTAGGAATTTTAGGATCAAAAGGACCAAAGATAGAATCTAAATTTTAGACTTTACAACTAAGGAAACAGAGATCTAGACAGATACTAAGTGGTAAAGCTAGTTACACAGAGCAGAAATTGGTGCTTAGGTGCTAGTTCTGGCAGTAAAATTCTTTCTGGGATTCTCCAATTATAAGGAATTCTCGTATTTAAGATTGCATACTATTGAATGGTTGTTATTGTATGCCACAGAGTCAGAATGGACCCATAGTTAACTCTCCAGCAGGTTTTCAGAGGCAGTAAAGCACACCAGAGGAGAGTGTTCATCCTTCTTCCACAGAGTAGCTGGTGGATTCGAACCACATGCCTTTGGGCCTTTTGCAGCAGTGTGTCTATTAATTTCTAAATGAGACCTCTGTATTTCTGAAATTTGAGGTAGGTCTCAAGGGCAGTGACCTTTAATAAGGGTAGAGTCAGAGCTTACTTGTGTTTATTTTATTCCACATAAAATAATTTGTCCCTCCTTCCACTTTAAAAAATACCAGAGCTCTAGTGGCAAGAAGGTGCACTGGAATACTAGAGGTACGCAGTTTGAATCCACCAGATGCTCTGCTGGAGAATGGCGGGCAATCTTCTCCTGTACCAGTTAGATTTGATTTAACAGTACACACACAAAAAACAATAAATTAAAAAAAATAAATAAATAAAAATACCAGAGCTATACCTCAGAAAAATAAACACAAAATAAAAGGTTCTTACTCATTGTATACTTTCCAGGCGTTGCATCCATGCTGCGACATTAGTTCTAGATTTTCAATTCGAACTGCTTGATGTTCTAATTGGGCCATAGAATTATTTACACATTCTTGCCATGCAGTAATATCATTTTTCTGACCTGAGGAAGGGGCTGGAAGCTCATACCTAAAACAAAACAACAGAAAAAAGAACATAAAATCATATATTCACCAAATCTACATTCCTTCTAACAGAAAGTTCTACAGGTCTATCTATATTGTAAATACCACTAAAGACTGAAAATAAGATGCACACTTCACAATATGAAGAAACCTCTTTTACCTAAGAATTTACTGATTTACAAATAAGATTTAATAGAGGGACAGACATCATGCTGGGTAGGGTACAGGGACAGCGCAGGAGGGGAAGACCCTCTATGAGGTGGATTGATTCAGTGACTGGGGTAATAGGGATGGGTGTGTCAGAGGCAATGCGGTTGGCACAGGATAGAGCAGGGTTTAGGGCTGTTGTACATAGGGTCGCTATGAGTCGCAAACGACTCGCCGGCACATAACAACAACAACAATCACTAAAAATTACTCATTTCAATGACAAGCAAGCGGAAGCTATGACACATTCACTGAAAGTAGTTACATTAATTCTTAAATGATGTTATAGAATATTTAATAATATTAACATATCTGTAATACATTAAGGGGGAAAAAACAGGATACAGAAACTGTTACTATATGTGTTTAGGGGTTTTTTTGTTGTTGTTGTAAAAATAATGAAAGTAACTTACAGGTAGTGGGCAAAAGGGGGGGGGCAAGTGACCTGTACGGGGACAAATCCGTGACTTTGGCATTATTAACACCAGGCTCTAACCAACTGAGCTAACTGGCCAACTTGTTACTCTATTTGTAAAGCAAGCGTGCGTGCGCGCACACACCCACCCCCACACACCCACCCTCCTAGAGGAAGAGACAGGTCAAATAGAAGAATCCTCTGCATTTGGCTGACTTTGTATCATCTCTTTCTTCAATACTGCCAATATACTCAGTAAATATAGGTATGAGTCTAAGACACAGCTATTTTAAATTGATCCAGTACACAAATATCAGGTGGCATAGGGGTTTTACTGATGAAAATGGCTTTCCTAGGACTTTGACTTACACCATGTGGGTGGGTGAGCACATGCAAACAGGATGTACAGACTATCCGTGAGATTAGCCAGTTTTGCCATTCCATTAGATTTAAATTGAGCACTTCAGTGGCAGAAATGGACAATCTCACTACTAGTTAAGAAGCAGCAGCAGAGAATGCATCACATGTCCTCAGGGCCAGAGATTCCTGCACTAGCCAGACCAGGACCTACACAAGAGTAATACCAATAGCTGCAGTAGAGAACGAGAAACCGACATCAGAGAGCTAATTGGAACTGCTGCTTGTCCTTTGTCCAAACTGGATGTCAGCTAACAATTTCCTGATCTAAGTCATGGCATTTACAATTGTTTCATATGGATGTGGAAGCTGGAATATGAATAAGGAAGATAAAGTGATGCCTCTGAATACTGGCCCTGTGTTCATGCCCTAGAGCAACTCACAGATTATACCAATTAAAACCAGAAAAAATATAAAGGACACAAAGAGTGAAGTCTGGGACAGGTCTCAGCTCAGAGCTTCATGTTCCTAGGAATGTGTGACCCTCTCCGGTGCTTATCTTCTTCCATGAACCATCCATGCTGAGGGCTTTTGTTTAGCTTCACTGCATAGTTAGGACTGTGGCCTCACTGGATATGCAAGATTGACTAAATTACAACCTCCTCTATTTCTGGAGTTAACTTATTAGGTAGGGTCTTGTGGCCTGTCTAGACCTTCTTTGCATAGTCCTCAAAGCATTTTCACTATGAATGCATCATTAAAAAGTTACTTTTCCAAGACTTTTCACAGAGGAAGATATTCAGATAGCCAAGAAATTCTAGGAACTCTTACACACTGTTGGTGGGATTATAAAGTGGCACAACCATCAGGAAGGCAGTTTAGCATTTCCTCAGAAAGCTGAACATGGAAATTCGCTATGGCTCAGCTCTCCCACCGCAGTGAAGGAGGGGGCAATCTCCTCCTGTACCGTCAGATCTGATTTGACGGTACACGTAAAAAAAAATAAAATAAAATCAAAAGATGTGTGGTTGTTTTTTTTTTTTAAATTACTTTTCCAAACAGTCAATGTTCTAAATAAATAAATAAATAAAATCCTTTTCTTTAACTTAAAAAAAAAAATTCCAAGGGTTATCTTTTGGTTAAGGCTTCTGGGCTATCTTCAAAAGCAAAAGCTCAAACAGAGGTCTTTTTCTCAAACCCTTTTCCTTGTAGGATTCATTGTGATGTATTACTTATGATTCTCACAGTTCCACAGTATTTTAGCAGTGAAAGACAGTTCAAGTGTTATCTAATTGTTTGAAAGTAAGTAACAAAAGGTGTTTGTCTGACCCTGATCCTAAAGGAAAGGAAGGATAAACAGTGGTAAGGGAGGGGTTGAAGACAGTTAATCCAAAGTGTTTCTCTTTTACAAGAGTAAAGCAGAAATCATAATAACTCATAGTATGCTAATTTGCACTTCTTGTGCTCTATCCATTTAGAATACATAATTCACTGACTTTTAATATATTCACATATATGATCATCCATTACCGTAATAATTTTTGAACCTTTTAATAATTTCATAATAATACTATATTCATGGGTGGGGTGTCAGATCCTTGAAAACTGGCTTTTTCCAGTTAGCCTTCACTGGAGGCATGCTATCCAGCTTCCTTAACTGCAAACATGTGGTCTTGCAAATCATCAATAGCTGTGGGACCAATATGAGAAAGCGAGAGCTCCCACATTGTGAAGAACCCTGGTGAAGGTAGTGGAAAAAGGAGAAGAGAGGTGTAGCAAGGTATAATCAAAGGACGCCTGTGTTTAAGCTACAGTTAAAATTTTTGTTTGCTGTGCTTGCTTTGGCAGCACATATACGAAAATTGCAACGACAGAGAGAAGATTAGCATGGCACCTGTGCAAAGATGACATGCAAATTAGTGAAGCATTCCATACTACATATATGTGAACAGGGAAGAATCAGATGTCTGATTAAGGAAACTCCCTCTGAAATTCTTAAATATGCACCTCACTTCAGTTCATGATATTTCCTTGGTGTTGGAATTTAAAAATTCTTACTTTTAAATAATGGTTATTAAAGAGGATTATATGAACTACTCTTGTGGAAAAGAAAAAGAAAACAAATCAAAATTCAAACCCACAGGTGTGCAGTCAGTTTTAATTCACAGTAACTAACAGAACAGAGTAGAACTGCCCCTAGGGTCTTGCGGCTGTGAATCTTTACAGACACTGCCACACACGTCTTTCTTCCATGAACTGGCTAGTTCATTCATCTGCTGACGTTTTGGTTTGCAGCATAACTCTTAACCTAGGGTACCATGAAGGTTCCTTGTTACATTTAAAATCATACAGGATTTTCCCCATTTACTTTAACATGATTATAGCATAGCTTTACTTTTAAATTCAAGTGAACAATGGTCCAGCCTTACTGAACCTAGAAATAGGACTTACCGTTTCATACTGAGCAACTCAATTGGTTGTCGAGCAGCCAGTCTTTCAAACTCATTTCTCATTATGTCAGTCTAATGTTAAAAAAAGAGAAATGGAGGGGGGGAAGGGGGGAGAAATGATTAGTCATAACACTGTAATTACAAAGTAAAATGAACAAGCACTAAACAACTAAGAAATCTATCCTACTTAGGTATTTACAAGTTATCATGTCAGCTGCTACAACTCTGACTCAAAGCAATCCTGTGTGCCAGAGGGGGACATGATAGGATGGTGGGAGTAGTATGTGAGCAGGGGTGGGGGGAACAGGAGCAAACTAATCCTAAATTAGTGGTTCTCAAGCCCAGTAACACATTAGAATCAATTAGGGATCTTGGAGAAAAGAATTCCACCCTGATAATCTCTCCTTAAGTGAGTGGGACTAGTGATAGTACTTGTTTTTAACGTTGATCCTAAAGTAAAGTCAGTGCTGAGAACCAGGAAACTAAGTATTCACTGGGAAGTAGAAGAGCGAGGAATTGGACAGAAAAGACTTAGCTTCAAGGCTATGGGTTTACACCTTTTTTTTTTGGTTCTTTCCCAAATTCCTGCTTTTAAGTATGCTAATTTGCACTTCTTGTGCTCTATCCATTTAGAATACATAATTCACTGACTTTTAGTATATTCACATATATGATCATCCATTACCGTAATAATTTTTGAACCTTTTAATAATTTCATAATAATACTATATTCATGGGTGGGGTGTCAGATCCTTGAAAACTGGCTTTTCTAGCCATTGATAGCCTTCATTGGAGGCATGATATCCAGCTTCCTTAACTGCAAACA